CCACGCCGAGCGATTGCGCTCGAGCCCAGGTGCCAGGCCCCAGGCGTGGAGGCACACAGCGCGCGCTCGCCCGCTCAGCCACACACGAGAACGCGCGAAACCGCTCAATGCGCGCCTCTTGCCACTCTCGAATCCGCCCGCGCAGCGCGTGGTTTGGGAAGGTGTGCGTGTGCTGGAGCGCCTCGCCCGTCATCGGGGGCTCGTCGACTTGGTCGCGAGCCAGCGCTCGATCTGCTTCCGCTCGTAGGAATGGCCGTCCGCCGCCATCACCGGGTCGCTCATCACCTCGGTCGTGATGGGGCAGATGAAGTCGGCCGGCGGCGCATCCGGCTCGGGCGGCTGCTCCTCCGCCACCCGCCTCTCCTCCTCCAGCCTCGCGCTCTCCTGAAGCGCCGTCGCCAGCTCCGCCTCCTCTGCTGCCGCCACCGCCTCCCCCTCCGCCGCCGCAAGCGCCTCCGCCTCCTCGCCTTCCGGCTCCTGCGACGGCCCGCCGCCGCTCCCCCCGCCCTTGCCCTTCTTCTTCTTCTTCTTCTTTTTGGCCTTGCGCTCCTTGGCGCGCTGCTCCGCCTCCTTCTCCGCCTCCTCATCCGCCAGAAGCGCTTCCGCGTGCCGATCCGCCTCCGCAGCCGCCTCCGCCATCTCGGCCTCTCTTGCCGCCGCCTCCGCCGCCCTAGCTTGGGCGCGCATGCTCGCGGGCGAGAGGCGGACGACGGTGGTCGTGGGTTCGAAGGCCTTGTCACCGATCTCGGCGGTGGTTGGCACGGTGACGTTGGTGAGGGAGGAGCAGCGGTGGAAGGCGCCATCTTCGATGGAGAGGAGGCCGGCGGGGAGGGTGACGGAGGTGAGGGAGTCGCAGCAGGAGAATGCGCTGCTGCCGATGCAGGTGAGGCTCTGGACACCACGCCCAAACACAGACACTTGCTTAGTCCTCGGTCCCGGGGCTCCACCTTCGGTCCTCCCGGGGCTCCGGTTCTCCCCGATTCGCTCTCTTGCTCGCTTGCCGAGCGTCATACGACGGCCGGTGTGGTCGTTTCCCTCGTTGTTGGTGTCGCTTCCTCCGCTGCCGCCTTTCGTCTTCGCCAGCCTCTCCCAGCTCCACCGGTTCTGAGAGTGTCGACGGCCCGGTCGAGGTCACCCCGGGCGAGAACGGTGGCATTGGGTCGCGCCCAGTTCCATCCCCGGGGGGTCGAGCCCGCTCTCCCTGGTTGTCTCGCGCCCGCACCCGCGGCCTCTCTATCGTCCTCGGCTCGCCCCCCCCCTCCGCCGGCTCCTCTCCAGGCTCGGGGGGGCGTGGCCCTCCCTGTGGAAGGTCGTGATGGTCCGGTTGCCACTGCGACTGGCCTTCCCCTGGTGAGCCCGTACGTCCCGACTCCACTCTCAGAGGCCGCGTCAGCTCATCTCTCGCCTCCTCCGACAAGTGACCCCAAGCCTCCCCCGGGGCCCTCCGGCCACGGCCCTCCGGCTCGCCGGTGGGCCCACTATCGTACCGCGGTAACTCCCCTCCCCCATCTCCTCCGCCCGGATACACCAGCCTCCGGCGGGGCGGTCCCGGACCCCCCAGGTTATTCCGAGCGGGTCCATACGGCGGCGGCCCCGCCGGCGGCGGGGGTGGAGGCGGTGGCAGGGGCGGCGGGTACGGTGGCGGCCCTCGCGGCCCAAACGTCTGGTGTGGAGCCGCTGGGGCGGCCCCACGACCCTGCAGCCGTTCCAGTGGCGGGGGTGGGAATGGCAGTGTGGGTGGCGGAAACGATGGCGGCACTGGCGGCCGCACCGCTTGGTGCAGAACCTCAGGGGCGGCTCCTCGCGCGCGTTCATTTTCACATCCAATGGGTTTGATCGAGTGGGTCCATGAACCACGGTCGTCATGCTTCTGCTGCTGCTGACCTGTCTCCCTGCAGCAAGTCTGCACACAGACAGAGCGGCAGCAACGCTCGTGCACTGGCGGGCGATCGTTGAGCATGCATATGACACCGTCTACCGTCCGCTGAGGGCGGAGTGCACAGCGAACATGAGCGCGGAGGCTTGCCTCATAGCGATGCATGACACGTCAGCGGATGGTTTGTACCCATGGTGGGTGCGCACGATGCTCCGCGACGCGCTCAAACCCGCCACGGGACTCCATGGCGCCTGGCACTCGCTTGGAACAATCCGCCCAGCCCCGACAGCACTGTGCACGATCGAGAAGGTGTCCACGAGCCAGTGGCGCAAGTTTATGTGCTTGCTGCATGGCGGCAGTGATGGTATGGGCGGCGGGTGCTCTTCGGGCTGTGGCGGGTGCTCTCCGGTCCTGGAACATGAGTTGAGGAGGTCTAATTCGGTGCGGCCTGACCAGCTGCGCGCTCATGGCGGAGACCAGAGCTTCCGAGTGCTGCATGACCGCAAGGACTGGCTGACAGTCGTCTTCCTCCGCGACCCTGTAGAGCGATTCGTCAGCGGCTACCTCGACAAGTGCCGCCCCACCATAGCACGGGGGGAGCGGCACTGCGAGCCACTTGGCCTGTACATCAATGGCACGCACAGCGAGTTCATGCGCTTGCTGCCCCACGCCCGCATGCAGCTTGGCTCGTACGTGGATACATTCCCACTCACGTGGAACCTGCACTTCTTCCCGCAATCCCTGTACTGCGACGACCTCGGCAGGAACGCCCATAAATACACGTTTCGTGGGGCGCTCAACGCTTCGCTCGCCGATCAAGTGGGTGCGCTGGGCAGGCTCATCGACGCACGCGCACTGGCCGCCACGCCTGGTTCCGCGCCAAAGCACGTAGGGCAGGGCGCGGCAGCTGCATCGTTTAAAACAGACAACGACAGCGGTGAGCACAAGACGGACGCCGCGGCGAGGCTGGCGGGGCTCGTGGCGACAGAGAGCGCGGCACGGCGACTCCTCGAGTACTATGCGATAGACTACGTTGAGCTCGGCCTCGAGCTCCCAAGCTTCCTGGTCAAGCTACCGCTGCCCGCGCTAAGCCGGTCAGAACGGCGCCTGCTTCGTTTATAGCACAGCGCTGGCTTCTCGTGCGCGCCTATATGCTATAATGCTTTTTCGGCCAGTGCGCGCCTCCCGTGCCCAGTGTCGTGCGAGGGAGCTTTGGGAGAGAGAGAGATTTTTAGCAATACCAAGTGCAGATGTGCAGTCGGTAACCGCACGCCCAGGACCGGGGAGCTCGTGTTGCAAAATTCTTTTTCGCACCTGTGTCGATAAATAAATAAATAAAACCACACACGGGGTGGGAGAAGGACAGGGTCCCCTGTGTCGAGCCTGTTCCCCGCATGGAATTTTTTTAATTCTTTAGCACGCGCCAGTTCGCACCTGTGTCGAGCCTGTCTGCTAGCACAGAGTTCTTTTGTTTACGCCGGCTCTTGTGGCGAGGACGATGGCTTCTAAGGAAGCCGTCGTCTGCGCCTTGTCTGTCGTGTGAATCGTGCGTGTGCGAGAGCCTTTTGTTGTGAAATTCTTTTGTTTAAATTCTTTATCGGCTTCTGCAGCAACACGACGCTCACCTTCTTCCTTCGCGCCATGCCGCCGTCGGTCACCCTCCCGGCCGCTGAGAGGCACGACGAGCTGATCGACGCGGCGCTATACAAGCTCGTCGGCGGGGCGCGGGTCGGCGCCGCCGGCACGCGCTGGGAGCGCGCGTGCAAGCAGGCGCGCCTTCCCGTCAAGATGGGCGGCATGGGCCTCACTAGCGCCGTCGACATCCGCGAGCCGGCGTGGATTGGCACGTGGGCGCTCGTCGCCGGGCCCATGCGCCACCTGCATGCTCCTTTCCGCGACCTCGACGTGAGCAAGGCGCCGGGCTCCGATTTCGACGAGCTGCGGGCGGCGCATGACAGGCTCAAGAAGGAGCACGGCGAGATCGCGGCGACGTGGAAGGAGTGGGACGGCAAGACGAAGGCGGAGTACTTTGACCTGGTTGGCGGTACGACAGGCAGGCCCCCGGAAGTCGAGGTGGAGCCGTGGGACGAGCCCGACGAGGGCGAGAAGCTGCGCGCCTCCGCGCGGCCGCCGGAGCCAGCTAAGAGGAAGGCGCTCTCGCGCTTCCGGCCGCATACTCTTGTCGAGGCCAAGGAGCTGCTGCCCCTCGCCGAGTTCACGTCCAAGCACGAGTTCCTACACCAGGCGCAGCGGCGCTTCACGACGGTGGTCCACAACAGGAACTGGCGCGACCTCGCCCTCGAGCTAAGGCAGGAGGGCTCCGCGGGATCGCGGTCTGCTCCTCGCGGCAAGAAGGGCAAGGCGCAGGCCAAGGGCAGGGAGCGGGCGCAGCATGCGGCTTGGCGGGAGGCAGTCCGCTTCGTGGCGGTGAGCCAGGATGGCGCCGGCGCCTTCCTCAACGCAATCCCCATGCGGGATGATATGCGAATGGAGACTTGGGCGATGCGTCTTACGGTGCAGCGCCGCCTGGGTCTCCCCCTCGACGTGGCCTGCCAGGCCGCGGCGGCGGGCAAGAAGACTCGGAATGGGAAGACCCACGACGAGCTCGGCGACGCTGCTGTCAACGTACCGCAGCATGGCCACAACACGAGACACAAGTACACGCTTCGACGCCTCATCCTCGCCCTGCGCGCCGCGTGGGGCACCGCTGTGCGAATGGAGCCGAAAGCCCACCTCGGTCAGAGTTACAACAAACAACCCGACGTGGACGCGGACAACATTGGCTCGCACGGCTCGCACTATTGCGGGGACGTCAAGGTCGTCTGTCCCCTCAGCAGCAGCGGGGAGCACGGTCGGAAGGGCGCTTTTGTCGCTTTCGGCAACACTGAATCATTCTACCGGAACATGGTCGAGGGGCATGGGCCCTACTGCGAGGAGGGGGAGGGGGGGAAGGGGGGGGGGGAGGGAGAGGGGGGGGGGGGAAAAGAAGAGGGGGGGGGGGAAGGGGAAGGGTACCGGGGGGGCGGCCTGGAGGGGGAAAGGAAAAACAAGGGCCAAAAAGGGCAAGGGACCCGGCGCTGGCATACCAAGGGGGGCAGGGTGGTGGGCGGCAACCCCCCCATACCGTCCTACGGGGGGGACTATCGCTACCCCCGGGAAAACAAGGGCGTCCAAATGCAGCTGCTGCTGTTCCAAACCTTCGGCGGGTTCCGAAAGGGGGTCCCTGAGATCCTCCGGAAGGCGGCGGAAGTACTACAGAAAAAGCTGACGCGGGCC